TCTAAATAGTTGTAGTAATGGTCATGTGAACATTGTCGTTATTTGGTGTTTTTTCTTTACCTGCCAGAATGATTTCATACACGTTTTTTTCAACAAGATTTCTAGTATATATGATTGGTTATATTCTTTAACTCATAAGCTTAGTTCTTCGCTGTCTCTGCAGTTTGAAGATTGCACTTTCGATTGGCTTTATTGGCCACAAGCTCGCCAGGCTTATTCTCCTGACACCATTGAGTACATAAATTCTTTGGATGCTGAACAAGATATCGCACTTTTGAAATTTTACGGGTGGGACATTCCAGTTGAGTGTGCCCGCACGCTCCGTATCTCCACCATGCTTCTGAAGAAAGGGGTACAGAGAGGTCTCACCCCTTTTGCCATTGGGAGCCTCATGTGTAGAGAAAATATAAACAAGGAGTCAGTGATTGAGGAGATAGTGCGTGAAGCTCAGGATTCCTTGCTCCCGGGCATGAGTGAAGCTGCATTTCTTGAAGCCATCTCCGAGGTCATGGATTCCCAGCTCGACAAGCTTACAAAGTAAATTCCTATATTATAGGTACATATATGTATGTATTGAATGAATGACCAGTCCATTTTCGGATGGACTGCAAGCTTGTATGCAGTGTTGATGGCTTATGTAGTTTCATATAATAAGCCTGAAACTTTCGCTTTCATTTCTGTCAACTGATGGAGATAATACAAAGACTTCTTCTGTCAACTGTTTTTTAAGATGATCATGGATAAGATCTTTTCCTATTTATGGATTACAGGAAGCGTTTCGCAAGTAGGGAGCTCAGGTACTGCAGCGCTCCTTCGGGAGCTCAAGAATTCCTGCATTGAATTTATTTCCTGGTCTGATACTACTTTACGAAAATAGTTTAGGGTTTAGCTGTTAACATTCATATGTAGCTTAAGGATTTGAAGATTGGAACTGCACGTCTATTGACAAGTCGATAATTTTCTCATCGATGCGCGATTTAGACTGTTTAATGGAGGTTTTTTTTAAACCAGAGACTGCAGTTTGATCAGAAAATAGGAAGTTAGAAACTTCTCTTCTAATTTCCGTTATTTTCTATACTGGCATTGTTCCTCTAAAGAAGGGAGGCCAGAAGACATGGCATCTTCTCATCTATGATTACCATCTCTATGTGCTTAAACTAACCAGAGAAATTTCGGTAGGGCTGCCTAACTCCTGGTGGGGTTAGAGGATTCGTGCGAAACCCCTAAAATACGAGTGGTTTCTACGCAGTCAGGCAATACACGTGGTCCGGTTTCCGCTGCACAAGTTTTTCTCCAAACTCTAAACTCAACATTGCTGCAATGCTGACCTTCGATGATGCCAAAACCCATGTGAGTTTTCGTCAGTTTGATAATTGAAACCAACTCTTTGGCCCTATACGAGCCCCAGTACAAAGCAAGGGAAAAGTGCTTTTGAATAAAGTGATTTTGAATTGTTTCATCTACTTTTTTTACCCCAGAAGTAAATTACGACAAAAAATCTCTGCAGAGCTACAAATAATTCTAATAAAATCAAGAATATTATGTTGAAACAGGAGCTGCAGCATCGAATTTGATTTGACTTCAACTTGCTTATCATGATTGCTATGAACTCAATTCCTCAGCATTTTCAATCTTTTAAATTTAATTACCGAGATTAGCATAGCAACTTAAAGGGAACATGATCTCCTAATATAGTGCTTAGGTGGACCCCATTGCAAGAAATTATCAACTCATCAAAACTAAGATCCTAATAAATAATCACCCGTCCACCGAATTTTATCCAAAACTTTTAAATAAAAAACCACATAAGTTTGTGGTTCCCACTCAATTTATTCTCAATACGAACATATTTTATTGAATTAAAAATCAACACCGTCGATACGAGGATAAATGCTCTTATTTTTTAACAAACGATATTATTTATATTAAAGGGTGTGGGGGGATTAAGCTAAACATTACAATGAGCTTGCAATAATATAATTCATATTCGCCTTTAGCGAGAATCGAACATAAGCCCTCTCACTTACAAGTAAAGAAGAATATCAGTAGATTATAGTACTAAGTGGCAAGGACAAACGCGCTTAACCACTTGAAAAAACACAAGACTTCATGTATAGGAATAAACACTCTTTAACCCTTGCGCTACAAGTTATAAGATATGGTTATTTAAGTTTGAACTAAATGGATTAAAACAAAGGAAAACTAATTAAAAGGACTTGAAAACTTTGAGTTTTAATCAAAAGGATAAAAAGGTGTTGTAAGTGAATAGTACTAGGAGTGACTTTTTAGAGTAAAAATGTCATTTTCATTAAAAGTAAACAATACTAGGAATGTTTCGTTAAAACTCTCTTAAAACAACCCAAATTGTTAGATAAAAAGTGTAATTTAACCCTATCAACATGCAGTAAAAATTGACTTGGTTGTAACTAACTTGTCAAACCCCACTTTTGTAATTTTCTTTGTTGGGCCCACCCTCATTTTAGTAATTGAAACCTTCGAGCCATGGACCAAATTCCATGCCTCGGTAGGCATGGCAGCCATACAGACAATGAAAGCCTACCCTAAGGTCATCTTTAACCGAAGAAGGGTCAGATGGCTCCTTTTAACCTTATAGCTCTCCAAAAAATTAATATTTTAATGAACAGTGTCAACCATATTTTTTACCAACTCCAACCGAGAAGACCAAAGGGTCATAGGCCAAACATAGCCTTGTGACAAAAAATCATCTCCAACCAAGAGGGTCAAATGGTTATAGGCCAAACATAATTTATTATTTTAATTGAATTAATATAGTTACTTAAATTAAACTACCTCAATAATTTTTTGAGATGTAATCTCAATAATTTTTCGAATAGGATTTCAAGTAACACATGTCACTAAAGTGAGTAACTCTCCAGATTTCTTTTCGATATGTAATCTCAATAATTTTTCAGATAGGATTCGAGTGCCATGTGTAACATCCCACATCGCCCAGGGGAGTGGATCCTGTAAGCATTATATGTATATTCTCATCTCTACCTAGCACCTGGGCCCCCACCACAACCCGGGTTCGACTCTACCGTAGCACGATATTGTCTACTTTGGGCCCCGACCACACCCTCACGGTTTTGTTTCTGGGAACTCACACAAGAACCTCCCAAAGAGGGTTCCCAGAAACAAAACCGTGAGGGCATGGTCGGGGCTCCAAGCGGACAATATCATGCTACGGTGGAGTTGAGCCCGGGTTGTGGTGGGGGCCTGGGCCGGGATGTGACAATTTGGTATCAGAGCCAATCCCTGGGCGGATGTGTGCTGACGAGGACGTTGGGCCCCTAAGGGGGATGGATTGTAACATCCCATATCGCCCAGGGGAGTGGATCATGTAAGCCTTATATGTATATTCCCATCTCTACCTAGTACGAGGCCTTTTGGGAGCTCACTGGCTTCGGATTCCATAGTTAAGTGAGATTGAGCAGGAGCAATCCTAGGATGGGTGACCCACTGGGAAGTTCTCGTGTGAGTTCCCAAAAACAAAACCATGAGGGTGTGGTAGGGGCTTAAAGCGAACAATATCGTGCTACGGTGGAGTCGAGCCCGGAATGTGGTAGGGGCCTGAGCCGGGATGTGACACACATGTTGATATGTGAGTAACTCTCCATATTTAAATGAGTACATGAGGCATCATAGAATGATACATTCGCGTGCCGCAAACAAGTACCTACAAGGAGATCTTGTTGCACATCTTTGGGGCAAAGGAAGCATGAAATATGCGTTTAAGTTTTATGTTGTTAAATGTTTTTTTTAATGTTGTTTAAGTTTGAATAACTTCCCCAAGTAGTACTAGGGTGGAGATTGTGTTCTTTAATGTTGTTTAATATTGTATAATGTTGTTTAATGGCTTAGGTAGTTAAAGGAAAAAAAAATTAGAATTTTGTTTTTAAATCTTGTCAAAAAAAAAAAAAATTCAAATCCAACGGTAATCTGGCATCAGCATGACATCAACGAGCCATTGCTAGCTGGCGTCATGTTGACGCCAGATAGTCATTGGATTTGAACCATTGGGCCTACTCGGGGCTAGCTAGTTTGAGCCAGCCGGTTGGCCTGTTTGCAAAATTTTGGTCGAGTGGGGCCCATGAGCCCTTTAGCCTAACCTTCGGTTGGAGACGGTTTTTGTGTTATTTCGGGCTATTTTTAGCCCTATGATCCTCTGACCGGATTGATTGGAGATGACCTAACAAGTATGTCTGGCATTTTGGTTAATTTTGTTTGTGTCAACTTGACAATGTCTTACTAACTTACCTTACATACTTGACAATGTGACACTCCTACCGAAGATTCTCTTTTAGCTAAAAATTATTGGAGACGTGAGCTGAGGAAACAAAAAAGAGATTTCTAACATTTTCTTAAAATGCGTGGAGTTACAATCACTATTCATATTAAATTTGTAAAACCAACACTACACCAAGCAATATAGGGAGTCCAAGTTTAAAGAAGGATAATGCTATTCAGATATTCTTTTTTACTTCTCACACATCTTTTTTTATTTTTGGTCGTTGATTTTTTTTAATTCATCCGATCTGATGATAAAAAGTTTAATAAAATATGTAAGAAGTAAAAATAGATGTGTGAATAGCTCTATTCTCAAAACGTTTCTCCAATCCAACAATTTAACAACATAAAATATTTTTACGATAAAATTATGAATTTAAACTATCGATCAGGTTTGACTCGAAGACGTAAATTTAAAAAAAAAAATTACCCTCCAAAATTTATAAAACATAAAAGAAAAAGACAAAGTCTCTCTCTCTCTCTCTCTCTCTCTCTCACAATTTCGTTCTTTTGTCTCAACTGCCAACAAAGACATCTTCCCATCACTTTCATCTTTCCCACATTTTTTCTCACCCCCTCACTCTTTCTTACCACTACAATAATACAATCCCACGTCCAAACACTCCCCTAAATTCCCTCTCTCTCTCTCTCAAAGATCCCACTACTCCACCGCTTCTCTTAATTCCCCAATTAAGCTCATTTAATCAACCATGAGCAAGCCTCAGCGGCCTCAGCGGCCCAAACCGCCGCCGTCCGGCCGTACGAACCTCGCCTCCTGCATCGTCGCCACCATCTTCCTAATTTTCGTCGTCATCGTCATCCTCATCGTCTACTTCACCGTCTTCAAGCCCAAAGACCCCAAAATCTCTGTCTCCGCCGTCCAGCTCCCCTCCTTCTCCATCCAAAACTCCACCGTCAACTTCACCTTCTCCCAATACGTCTCCGTCCACAACCCCAACCGCGCCGCCTTCAGCCACTACGACAGCACTCTCCAGCTTATCTACTCCGGCAGCCAAGTCGGGTTCATGTTCATACCCGCCGGCAAGATCGAAGCGGGTCAGACGCAGTTCATGGCCGCCACCTTCGCCGCCCAGTCGTTCCCGGTCTCCGATCCGAATCGGGCTTCCGGGATGGTCCAGAACCCACTGGGCCCCACTTTCGGAGATGGGTTGAGCGGGTTGAGCGGCACCGGCGCCGGACCCGTCGGTTCCACGATGCAGATTGAGTCGCGTTTGGAGATGGGGGGTCGGATTCGGGTCATGCACTTTCTTACCCACCATGTGGAGGCAAAATCTAGGTGTGAAGTGTACATTGCTGTGAGTGATGGATCTGTGTTGGCTTTTCACTGTTAGCTGTTGGTTTTCTTTTTTTTATTTGGTGAGTGAAATTGGAAAGAGTAGTTTTTTCTGTAGATTTTGCCAAAATTGGTAACTGGGGTGTCCAATTTGTTAGCCCCAATCCATCAATGGAAGTGTAAAAAAAGTAGTAATTTTTGACAATTAATTTCGCTGGAGCTATATGTGGTTGTGCATCGAGTTTTTTGTATTAGTGGGGGAATTTGGGTGTTTCTCTTTTTGTGTTTTTTAACGAACGAAATAAATTACGCTGACAGTTGGGAGAGAAGATTAAGCATCACAATTTGTTAACAAAAATAATTGATGGGTGAGAATCGAATTTAAATTCTGCATTTATAAGTGAAGAAAAATACCACTAAATCATAGTACTAAATAATTTTTTTTTGTGTTAGGTGATTGTAATTCATAAAGTTGAAGCCTTTAGCTAGAAGTCTTGTTGGCCTTGAGCCTTGAAGAGAAGGGAAGGTGGGAACAGTTGAAGAGGTGGCTTTTTGCTTTTGGCCTTTTGTTTTCTGGAGTTTGATGAATGCTGAGGCTTAGAGATTAATTAGTGTTTAATTAAAGGTTCATATTACTATAATCCTAATTTTCTAGTGCTGCAGTTGGTTAAGTAAAAAAAAATAATTGGCCAATTACTTGAGGGATTTATTAAAGGTGTGATTTAAGGTAATGGATCCCAATTCCAAGGTCCCAATCATCAAGTTTAGGATCCCATCTGTGCCTATGGCCTGGGGCCTAATTGTGTCGGTAAAATTATGTAAAGAAGCGTAAAATGCGGGTCCTTGTTGAGTTAATATACTCACCGGGATAAGTGAAAAGTGCATGAATCTACCGAGGAAAACTTACTTGGAACGAAGTTATATGGGAGTATTTTACTTACCACTATAAATTATAGGAATGTTCACGGTTGTCTTATTCACATTTTTTTTTTTTAATTTTTCACATCTTTTGTTAATTTTTATCTTTTGATTTTTTTTTCAATTTATTCGATCCGACGTTTCAAAATGAAGAGAGGTGTGTGGAAAGTAGAAAGGGATGCGAAGACAGCATATCCCCTATGTTCGATACACATTTAATCATTTGCCACGTGTTTTTTTATTTGATCTTGGTTAACTTTTTTTTAAATTAAAAAAGAAACATTTAATGTGAAAGTTAATTAGACGTAAGTGAAATGACACATAGCAGATGATTAAATGTTTAATGAACATATATTATAGTTATAGTGATGAGCAAAAATGCTCTCAAATTATATCAGTATGTGTTTCGATCTTTCAAAATACAATATATAATTAGGTTAAAAAACTATTAGAATAAAACTGCATGCGACTGTCAGAAGAAATTTACAATGAGATGAAAATGTGTGATGCTCAAAGCTAATCATACATTTTAACTTCTGCACATAGAAAAGTGTGATTATTATTATTATTATTATTTTAAAACAAAGTGTGTGATTAGTTTGATATACTGTTATCTTAACATTTTCTTACAAGGACACAAAAGTCCTTGTAAGTGTGAACCATAGCTAGTGTGAGAGAACGGAAACATAAAATTAAGCCAACCAGTAAATGGTAATTGAGTAAACATAGTCATGGGATATTCGGAATGGAAAATGCTTTAGCAAGTAACAATTCATGATTGATTTATTACCAATAAAGAAGACAACGCGAAATTGGGGGTTGCGGCGGTTCCAACAGAATCTTTTCTGGATCCCTTTGTGAGAATTTCACAAATTAATGAATCGTGTCATTGCATCATACATTATGTAATTAATTTTTGTCATATATTATTATGTCCAATTTTAAATAAAAAAAATTTAAAATAATTTTAAACCTCACAATATACAATAAACGAATACGATTTACGAAACTTCAAAAATTTTCACAAAAAGGATCCGGACTCCTGGCAGTTACCAAAGAGAAAAGCAAACAGAAAACTGGCAGCGGTTGAGTGGAGACCCAAACAGTGGACAGGACTCCAGCCATGGTCATGCCATTGGGATTCGATACTGCTTTTTGACTATTTCCACGTTTGTTCACACACTGTCCCCGTTACGAAGGGTAAAAAGAAAGAAAGGCAACTATTAAATTGTTTGCCTTATCACTCACACGTCACCTGTGTCCGGAAAATCAGAGAACCCATCAGCACGCCGGAATGCCTCAATCGGTCAAAGAAAGGGGTAGCCGTGGATTTCTATGGAGCATCATCTAGGAACAAGAAGGTTCAATCGAGTAACGAATTCATAAGTGGTCCAAGGAAATTTAAAGCTTGCTTCTACAATTTTAGGGTTTGTTTAAAAATGTTTCTCTATAAAGTGTTTTTATTAATATCGCTTCAATCAATAGCAACAACTCTGCTTTGACATAAGTTAATAATTTGTCGTTGAAAAAGAAAAAAAATAGAAGGAAGTTACATTTTTACAGAGTATTTCTATGTTTACCAATTATAGAGGAATCAAAATAGCAATTGATGTCTTGTAATAAAAAGAAGGAAACTTCAATGAAAAGCCTCGGTACTGTTCACTTTAACGAAAAACCACATTTTCACACTAAAAAATCAATCATGGTGTTATTCACTTTACCTTTTATTTTGTCCTTATCGTTAAAACTCAAAGTTTTAAAGTCATTTTCATTAGTTTTCCTTAAAAAGAATTCAACTCTTCATTTTGAAGGAATTGGATCTTTTCGAGAAGTGCAAACTTTCAAAGTTTAAGATAAACTAGCATACAAAATAATGTACCAGGGCATCTTCGTAATCATTGTGATTTACATTCCAATCAAATAAATGAATAAACAACTTATGTAGAATCAATATCGTTCATACTCCGATCAACAAAAACTTTAGTAAACAGCTTCACACTATCAGAACCAAACAGCCTCCCAATTGCTCTTCTTCCTCATTTCTTTGCTTTTTTCTTTCCAAAATGATGGCTGATGTAAACAAGCTTGGAGGCTTCTTTACTGCTCACACAAAGATACTAGCACACGGCAAAATAATAACACCGAAAACTATTTGTATTTGTGGACCTCGGAAAGCAATTGCAGGTCGTCTCTCCACCATTGGTGAATTCCATGGGCTTCTTTCAGATCCCTTGAAGGGGTTAAATTAACTGTCAGGTTCGCCGAAGGAATGAGGTGCAATGGGGGCTCGGGCGCTGCTTTCTTTCCCATCGCGTGCATCAGTAGACCCCCTAGAGAATTCTGAGTTGCTAACCTCTCAATGGCCCCTGCTCCAATGTCCTCCATCTTCTTCCTGTGTTCGAAATACCCTATATATTCAGAGCAGATGTCATCAGATGGATTGACAAATAGACCAGGGAACCATGCAGCTAGAGTAGTGAATGGTTCATTTTCTGGTCGACTTCTGTGTTGATGATGTTGTTGTTGTTTAGCCTTCATAGCAAGAGTGAGTCCTGCAGTAATCACACTGCCTGCAATCCGAAGGCCATGCTTCACTCTCTTATCCTTAATCCTCTCTATTGGGGCCGACACAAATGGCGGATTGAAGAGAAAAGATTTGAGATAATTGCCAGAGCTAGCCATAGTTTTTCCAGCAAGCATTGCCATGGCTGACCCCAAGGAGTGGCCAGCTAACCAAACATTTGAAGGACCTGATGCAGCAACCATATTTCGGACAGCTTGCATAGCAATCTCAAAGCGAGATGTCCTGTGAAGTCCATTTCGGATCACCTCAATATCCAACTCAAGATCTCGTGAGACTGAGTCATACTTCGTTATGGTGCCTCGGAAAGCAATTACATAACAAGGGCTTCCTTCCGATGGATGGTTACAAAGAGAGGGTGGAGGTTTAAACTCATATACGGCACCAAAGATAGAGAAACCAACATCATCCACAAGCTTACGGAGCAGCTTAAAATGGAAGAACTCCCACCAAGGAGGAGCAAGGGCCTGGGGCCCTTCTCGTTCCTCTTGGCGGTCCCGTTCAAGAATGTAGACACCCTCAACCAAACAGGCAGCAACAGATCTTTGATGCTGAGTATTCTGCCTGCATAGGATGGCACAGATTTTAAATCCCATATCATCTTTCAAATTCCAAAAGAAGGAAAAGGTAGCCGCTGAGAGACAGTAGTGGAAGCAGTGGAATTCCAGACAGAAACAATTCCCAACTTGACCAACATTGACAATGGATAGACTAGTACACAATCAACTCAAATTTCGTGTATGAACTTTGTACAAGTAAAGTTTATCGTGCAAGTTAGAAAGAAACTTGGAGATATTACGTACCACATGGAAATGTGAATAACTGCTAGATATGACACTAGTGCATCTAAGTGTCTAGGCAAGTTGCATAGCTCGTAAAGATATACATAACGCAAAATAAAAGAACAACAGATAAGTCTCAACACAAGTCTGCATATGAACTGCATAGTCAATTATTCAAATTAGAAGAGACATAACATATGGGATACGATTCATATAACGACGCCATTGTTTCATGCTGGAAGTGTTTTTCTAAACAAGTTCCCTCGAATTTGGCCAATAAAAACCTTGTGTCAAATTACAAGGAATACAAAACCCTTGAATCGATGACTGCATAATGTGACAAGCATACAACTTCACAAAACAAGGAAACAGCTCCACACCATCCATTCCTCATACGGCTTTTTCATTAGTTTAACTTCCTCCATACCATTTGGGTAAAAAAAACTTCATCTATCGAAAGAAATTGCGTGTGTGTTTGTTGGGGGGGAGGGGGTTTAAGGTCTCACCAGTCAATGGAAGTTAGGAGCAATGGTCCTGAAAGGTCGAAACTTTCCCTCTCCGACGCCATTTACACCATATACCCTACTCTCCCCGATATCCTCCAATGCAGTTCTGCATTCCGCAATTCCACAAGGAAGTCAGTACTCATCAAATATATATATAAAATACAAAATACACTCCAAAGAAATTGAGATGCAAAAACAGTACGAACCCAATTCGTGGTTCGTACTTTTTGTCTAAGTCGACTTAAGATCCGACCACAATCCATTGACTTTCATAATTTTGAGATTAATACTGATTAAAAACAATGAAAACTATCAACTAAGCCATAAACTCAGAAGATTTATACACAAAAATCTGTCACAATTTCTCAAAGAAACCCAGAAAATGCAAAACTTACAAAATAAAGCAGAGAGGCAAACATACAATCAAAATGTGGTAAACTCAAATGGGCAGATAAATAATTGGAAAATGAGAAATTAATAAAAAATAAAAAAGGTAGGTTGGAGAAATGAGAGAGGCTGATCTGACCAGGGGACTTTTGTTGCTAGAAAGGCTGAGGGGTTTGGTGAATTCGAACGTTAAAGTGTCAGCGTCTCTTGCTTATCGGAATTTGAGATCCCAACTACCTTGGGTCGGGTTTGGATCCTCAAACTGTTAAAATCGACCCGCTTTGGAAATCTTGGTCCCCCCTCTACTTTCTACCTTCTGTTGTAAAATCGACGATGTGTGTACAGTGGAATAAATAAAACAAGACATAAAATTTACGAGGTTCCTCTACAGTCAGTGTGACTGGAGTACGACCTCAGGCAGCAGTGATGCTTTCATTATAATTTGGAATAATAGGAGTACAAAGATAACTCTATATATTCTCTCATCTCCTCTTCCTCTCTTTCTCTTCCCTCATCTCTTTCTCTTTGTGCTCTGTATTAAAAGCATACGGAGTGCTCTATTTATAGAGCAACTTCAAGTACACATCTTTGACAATATAATCTTTCTTCATCTCCCAAGTCAAGATTAATTTTATAGGCATTGAAAATCTACCCAATGTCTTCAGTTTCTACGTGAGCATTCATTACCCACTAGACTTTTCAACACCTTCTAAGTTCTAACCATTTTTATGGGATTCTAGGCTATTGGGCCTACCTGTTATGTTCTCAACGGTATGTCGTTCGCTCCCCCTCCCCCGACGGCCAACGAAGACTTTTCGCATTTTTCATGGACTAATGTCATGTTTGAAATTAAAATAAAAAAATAATATATTATATATTTCTCTGTAAATATTACTCTCTGGAAATTTGACATTACTCCTTGAAACTATATTATCTTTAATTAAAACTCATCTTCTTTTATTTTCTTGACTAAAGCTCATTGACTAGGGCTCCAACTAAGCAAATTCTTTAATTAAATTTGACTTTTCAAATTGTGTATTTTTCGAATGCCTAAGCTACCCTTATTAATACTTGGGTTGAGTTTTTGGATCAGTTCCTTGTTATATCTATTTAATTAATTATATTATTTTACATTTGACAAAAAATATATATATTTTATTTTACAAAATATTTCATGCCATTCATTGTATATTCAATGTATTAACCTTCAAATTGTTATAAGGTGCCGATTGAAAAATAATAATACTAATTTCGTGATTTTGTGCATTAAATATACAAGTTAATTTACCTACAAACACAACAATAGACCTAAAACAGCTTCGGTAATTGCATATATACTTCAATCCCTAATGCACAAAACAAAAGCTATATGTTCCACGCAAACAAAATAGTCTAATTTACCTATATGATTTATGTGCATTAGATTTCAAGTTTATTTAATTGCCTACAAGCCCAAACCCACAACATTCAAACATTATCTAATATCACTATTTTTTTTTTGGAATAGGTAAATTAAAGTAGGTAAATTAGTATAATATTTTATAAGTAGGTATATTAATTTGTATGTAGGTAATTACATGATTCAAACAAATTTTTTTTTTTTCGTACGAGATATGTCTATTTTTTTAATATGGTAAGTTAATTTATATATATATTACTAATACTCATGATACAAGAAAGGTAAATATCTGTATGGGTTTAATTGCTCATCATAATTAGGCTGAGTAATAATATTTATTGACCAAATTAGGATTTTGTGGCATAAGTTGTAAATGTGTTGTAATAGTTGGTTACATATTTGTCTATGACACACTCCGACCCGGAATGTCCACTAGGATCTCGAATTGAGTTGTGTTGGCCGATACCTGGAAGGTGACGAAGCCATAAAGTGTGATAGTGTATAAAATGTGAATAAATTAAAACCTAAAAGTGTTTAAGTACACGAGTGCGCGTGAAATGGGTCTGACCGACTAGGAAGTTATCGTGTGAGTTCCCAGAAACAAAACTATAAGGGTGTGGTTGGGGCCCAAAACGGACAATATCGTGCTATGGTGGTGGAACGGGCCCGGGATGTGGTGAGGGCCCAGGCTAGGATGTGACAGTCTACATGGCAGTCTATTTGAACTTTGGGTTTTATTTGAATGTTTAAAATTAGGTGAGTTTTTGTTTGGAAAATAAGAGTTTCAAACTTTCATTGGCCTATATCAAAATAACCCCATTAAACTAACTAAATGGTCATAAACACGAACCGTTCCATTTACTTTTAATTTTTGTTGTTTACTTAAAAGATTCAAATTTCAAGTATTTACTAATTTTCCTTGTGGATGCTGTTGTAAAGATTTATGGCGCTAGATGGCTGGTCACTGTCCCAATTAATCTTTAAACATTTGAAAATTAAGAATTGACGCTTAAACCTGCTTAGACGCCCATTAGCCCGCCTATGCCCTGTTGAGCCATCCGCATAGGTCGCGATTTTCACTTAAACAAATAATAGATAACTTTCATTTTGCATCTTATTTCTTTAATAAATTGAAAAAGACTTGTTTTCCATGTTTTTAATATATTCTAATACTTTATAATTTATATGTAATTTTATTTTATAATTTATGTATCTCAATACAAATTACATTGTTTTTTAAGCATAGTAGACATTTATTTATATGTTATATAATAAATTAATTAAAATTTAAAAAACCGCCTATAACCCCACCTAAGCACTAGACCCCCGCTTGCGCCTAGCGCCTTTTATATCTTTGCTTGTGAAAGCATTTTGTTGAGTATATCCCCTAAAAAGCCCAACATGCAAGCTTATGCTTTTTGGCACCTAAAAGCATAGATTAATTTGCAACTCACAAGCATGCTCAAAGCAGAAACAAGTTGAAGAAAATGGCACATCAGAAGCAGATCATAAACTATAAAAATGTTTCTGTTGAAAAAACAAGTATAGCGACATCAAGTTAAAGATTGCATCACCTCTCGCCAATTCGTTACTACATGATCAAAAATTAACAGAATGCCTCCAAACTCCGCCTAGACACCACCCCACCACCCACCAACCCCACCCCCCTCCTCTTCTCCTTCCCACCATTACAACTAAATCGTAAATCACAGATGTGCTGCACGCACATCTACTTCGCCCAAGCAACTGAGTCGATTTCTGCTTGCGCACTCCTGTATAGCTCCAGCCTCTTTGTTATGGCAGAACGCCTCTCCATTACTGCCGGGTCCTCATTCAGTAATGACGACAACTTCTTTGTCTGTGCAAAAAAATTCAGAGTCAATCTACAGTCTAACAGTTGCTCTCTACGAGAATGATCAATTTTCACCACACAATAAGAAATGATGGGTTGGAGAAGTTGTACTTACCTCCAGTTTTCCCAATTCGATGAAGAATTCGTCAAGTAAGGCTCGTTTTGCCTCTCGGACTTGACAATAGACCACAGACTTAGGAATGGAGTTACGCAAACTTACACATACCATATTGACATAAGCCAAAACCGTGGTCCCTGTTTTATTAAGAGAAAAGAATATACCAAGAGAATAAGGTGTCTAGATATTGGTTCAATAGAAGAGAAAGCAAAGTTTAACCGACATAGAATACATGCAAGGTTAATTTTTCATTCACGAGACTCACCAATCCGCCTGAGATATGAATCGTTGTATCTGTCAAAAATTGAATGTGATGGGTTTCCACCCTTCTCAACATCCTGGGGAAGATTACGGAAGAAATCAGCCGTCAGGTAACTACATTCCATATCAACTAGCTGTAGTGTTGCCTTCTTGCTCTGTTCTCTCATTCTCTTGAGTGACTCAGTAGCTGCATTTGTCACCTCTAGTCTGAGAGCAGGATACTGCTTTAGCTCCTGTGAGATGACAAAGGCAGTGTTTATCCAAGATGAAAAAGAATAACAAAAAACGAGGAAATGGACAGAAAAACAAGACTAACACCAAAAGATAACAAAAGGACAGAAAAATCAACGGAAGCAACTAATCAAACATGGTTGTGAACATACTGGAGTCTCACTGATAGCCTTGCGAACCAGATCCTTCAAAATGATATGAACCTGGAATCATGGAAAATTCAAAATAACTCATCGAGTACAAGCAGCATGACAAAATAATTACCTAAATTTTGCACAGAAGAAAAGGTAAGCTATAATAATACCGCATCAACAGCTGCCTCAGCTGGACCTCTCATACTAACTATGGAGGATTCAATGAGCCGACGGTACCCTTGTTCGGGAGCTATAAGATGAGGTTGATATCCATCAGCTTCAGTAATGAGCTTTCGTATATTTTCCATTGAAAGTTGCTTGTCAAATTGCAATCTTTTCAGAGCAGCAGGAAGCTGATTATCAAAAACATTGTAAATTTTATCACCACCTGAACGCCTGTGGACAGCGAAGAACATAGTTTAAACCTACTAAATCAATAGAGTAACAGACAAAAGCCAAGCACCTCCGAGGCACTGTCCAATATTGTAAAAGATGATTGTGGTTGATACATACACGCCATCAAGGTGTTCTTTATATATCCCATCAAAAAGACGACAAATCTCCATGACTGTATACAGTTTACCCTGCAAGTCCAGATCAATCAATCAGTAGCAACTCTTGTAAAGGTTTAAAAAAGAGAGGTCAATCTTCATTATCACTTTGATTTTAAAAGCAAGACATTTCAAAAGGATACAATGAAAAACAAAGCAAACTTACTCCAGCGTCTGCAGAAATAGGCTTTCCAAGAAGACTCAGTTCAGTTTCAAGTTCAGCAACAGTCTTGCTAATTAGGGACTGGATGCCCGGAATTTTTGACTTAATTACAGTTTCCAAATGCTGAGGCAGTAATCATCACAAGAATTTAGTGAAAGCGACCAAGATTAACCCAATGGTAAATACAAAGGAGTTACTAACTTGATTTCTTGTTATAATATACTGAAATCAGATTGAAGTAGGGTATCAGTTGCCTACCTTAGAAAGCACTCTAGCTAGATGCTCAGAACCCATTCTGGGAGCAAGGTGCTTGTATTCTGGGGTGGTAGAAAAATACTCACATTCTCTACGCCTCGCAGCAATCATATCCACATTCTTGTTAATATCTGCTTGTGAGCGATTCACGACCCCAACCCAAGGAAACTTTAGCCGGTATGACTTTCCTTCCAATATCTAAGTAACCCAAAATAGGAGAAGAAAATCGGGATATAAAAATGCCAAATTTATGCAACTTCAATCTATAAAATAAGGGTATCCAAAATGTATGTATTGCCAACCACTAAAATATAAGATTTGCTA